CATGAGTGACTCCGTGGCTGCAGGTGACACACCATCTGCGGCTGCAGGTGATGCGACATCCATGGTCTGTGCGCTCAGAGTGACTGAGCGCGTTGTGGGCACAACCGCGGCGTGGGGACAGCGGGAGCGAGGATGAGCTCACACTGGTGCGAGGTGGAAGTGGACAAGGAGCAGCCGGCCACCCTCCTCCCGGGTGCCGTGTCCCTGGTTTGCCGTAGCTCGGCCCCCGTGAGGCTGGCTCCAAGTGGACAGACCAGAGTAGCATCTGGGGACATTACAGCTGCACTTTGGTGACGCCGAGCCCTGGAAAACCACATCACAAGGTGAAGCAGGAGCGGAGGAGCTCCTGTGAGACAGGTCCAGCACCACCTAAGGGTGCGCAAGGACTGAACAAAATGGGCGCTCCCGTCCTGTATTTCCACTGCCGGACCGTGACACCAGCCCAGGACAGGCCACCTAGAGTCACTGGGGACATCGAGCTGCAGCTGGAGCCAGGTGCCACCTGAATAGAGGCTGGTGCAAAGCACCAGGGGCTCCATCTGTGTCAGTTTATGGATCCTGCCAGACCAGGCCACTGGTTCTCCCACCGTTGTTCAGTGACAGCCAGGATGTGCCAGCAGCAGCGTCAAGGGACAGCCAGCGTGACCTACAGGAAATTTCCTCGCAGTGCCCACCCGCTTTCTAGGGAGAAAATGAGCAGCCCCTTGTTTCATTGTCACCAGAGCATCTCATGGGGCAGGTCTGCCCCACAAACACGTTCCTGGTGCTCCTCAGGCCTCTGCTATGCAACTCTTGAACTGGAGAGCTGGTTTTACAGTTCTCCATCTTGAGATCCCACCTGCAGGAAACAGATCCTGGGGGCAGCAGAGGAGAGAGGGTGGCACCAGGAGCTGGGGCACAGCCAGGGATGGGCCAGGAGCAGCTGAGGCTGGAGGGGAAACTCCGGTGACCAGGAGATGTTTTGTCAGAGTCAACATCATCACTAGAGTACAAAGGTCTGTACGAGTCGGTGTCAGAAGGAGATCAGTCCTCTGGGTGTGGGCTCCAAAGCAACACTCGATGTCTCACAGGGAGGCGAGGGTCAGATTCACCATTCTCAGCACTCTTGTGGTGGGAGGCGATCACAAGTGATGTCCAGGCGTCTTTGGCACCGGGAATTCCCTGTGACATTGGCATTTAACACGCTGATCCACAGTTCCCCAAGGAATTCTGAACGACTCACACTGTCCAGGGACCTAAGGACAGCTTTTCACACCAAAGCTGGGGTTCAGTGAGACCCGACCCCCTGCTTCACAACCAGCATCAGCCTGTTCCCATGCCTTCCCCTCCCTCCCAACACCCCTATCTCGATATTTAGGGCATGGATCTGAAACACAAAGAAAAATCCCCACATTTCTATTCCAAAATACACACACCAGTTCCCTGTGGCTCAGAGCACAGCCCCATGAAACCCTGCCAGCGCAGTGAAGGCACAAAGTGCTCAGGGCAGGGAGAGGACAGATGGAATCAACCGAGCCCTCAGGCGGGGCAGGGCAGGCGAGGCCGCAGCTGCAGCGCTTCTGGCTGGCAGCAGCCTGGGTGTACACGGATATCTACAGCAACCTCCAGGTGATTCCCGTTCTCCAGGCAGCAGTTTTAAGTACAAATGCTTTCTAGAGAAAAATAATTTTCTAGATAAAACTAATCCTTCCATGCGTCTTTTATTTCAAAATAAAATAGCCGGCATATCAAACAGCGCTCACAGGCAGGATACCTTAAGACTGACACCAAGAGCTCAGTGAAAGGAAATAAGGATGCGGCACAGAAGGATCTTTCGAAGAAATACAACACTATACAACACGGCAGCGTGCTTCATTGCAGACCCCTGCTCACACAGCACCAACCCTGTGCGACCTGCCGCTGGCCGCTCTGTACAGAGCTAGCGATGGGGAGAAGCTATCACGGTGAGTCCAGGGCTGCCTGGGGAGCCAGGGCGACGGCAGCACCCCGGAGCCTGCTCCCTGGCCGTCAGTTCACCCGGCAGGCTCTGATCATAAGCAGCTGGAGGAGGATGAAGACGGGCGACATGATGAGCCCGTACCAGAGCTCGCGGGTGTGCTCCACCAGCTTCTGGCACAGCAGCATCTCGAAGACGAACTTGAGGCTGAGGATGGTGAGGATCCAGAAGAGTCGCAGCACAGCCAGGCGCTTCTCACCGTCCTGGAAGAGCCTCACGGACACGATGGTGGTGAAATAGGTGCTGAGGCCGTCGGCGGCGAAGAAAGGGA